GGATTTCCGTACAGAACCCATAACAGCACTCCAACACAAAAATAAGTAAACAAAATACTCTATCATAAATTTTAAAGTAAAAAACAGAATCGTGAAGTTTTTTGTTCTTATTTGATTTACATAAAGTAGCACTTCACGTTTTTATGTTTTTTTTTTCTTTATTACTTATTTCTTTAGATCGAGTCAAGAGAGAACGGTCTTTGGGACTATTTCAGTTCCGAGTTAAAATTGACAAATAGGCGCCATTTTCTCCCTTACGTCATGCCTATGGCGCGAACTTATAAGTTAGATAAAATAGGTACGTGTCTATCAAAAACGTGTAAGTACTATTAATGTAAATCATTTTTTGTCAGGCTATTACAGAACAGATAACAATTTAGCATTCAATCAGTGATGAATGACGTGGGATTTTTACACTGTGCATTCTAAAAGCAGTACGCGGAAAACAAGCCTGTATTTATTAACAATTTATGTAAATTACTTGCGACGGGTTTCTTATAGTAGTCTGTGGGCTTCGAAAAACAGGTGGCGTTAATATCAATCTCGTTGTTACAAAGTTCAGAAAGTAGATGGCGCCGGAATCAAATTATCAATTCACGGGGATGCGTCATTGTGCTATTATTGTTGATGAACCGTATCATGTATTTTGTGTTATCTTTTTGCGGAGGTATTAAAATTTGTGGTGGATTACTGTAGGTCTAGGTTAAAAGATAAAGCGTCATATGTTCTTATGGAAAATATATGTTTTTTTTTATCGAACTGAGCTTGTGTACTGAACGAGACGGTATTTTGTTTGTTTTTTTTTTTCTTTAATGTTATTTTTAACTCACAAAAAGCCATTGTAGAAGTAAATATACAAATCCTTACATATTATAAAATGAAGTCGCCGGCCGGCCGCGTGTGTCAGTCTGTATGAACGCGATAAACTCAAAAACTATCGAACGGATTGTTGTACGATTCTCACCAGTAGATAGTGTGATTCTTGAAGAAGGTTTTGGTGTATAATTCATGATGGTTTACGTAAATTGACTGAACTATAACGATTATTCTTGAAGAGGTCGCAAAAAAACGTTGCCTATATAAACCGCGCCAAAAAGAGGATCACGGATACTGAAAACCAGGCGGGCGAAGCTAAGGGCGAAACCTAGCAAAATTAAAAAACAGTGTCACGACATCTCATACAAAAATCTGAAGCAAAACATCCTCTGAGTGTTTATCATCCCTCTATTAAACTTTATGTATATTTTTTATGAGAAATCGAAGAAAATCGTAATTTGGTTAATACCATTGATAAATGTTTGTAAATAATCATGATTTCTACGCATAACATAATTATATATATCAAGACTTTATCACGTAAATATTTATACATATAATGTGATAACCTTTCTGTTTATCCGTCGTTTTGATCGATTTGTACCTTATGGATAGTGGCGATAGTCACTTATATTGCACAGATGGATCATGTTTTAGTATCTTATGGTGAAGACAAGCATACGGGTTACCAGATGCTAAGTGACAGCTGCTCACGGCAACTCAAAAAGCGGCAAAGTGTGTCGTAAAATGAGTAAACGGGACCACCTACTCCGGGATTATCTCACTCACTCCGTGAAAACAATCGATAAAATGGCGTAACACCGGTTTCCTGTAAGGACATGGTAACAATCATATTAGCCGGCCAATTTATGTCGCATGGCAAGCCCATTTTAAAAACTTCGGGACTAATTTGACTGCACGGATGGCGTAGTGGTTTAAGCGGTCATCTCCCCGCTGCCTACTGCGCTGAGTGTTGTGGGTTCGATTCCAACATGGGACAAACCTTTGTGTGGCCCAAAAATTCTGTTTTCTCTTCATTGTCTTTTTACACTTTAATCCTTAATAACGGACATACTGGCACACATCAAAACAATGTTGTGGTATATTTAATGATGCCATTGTATCTATCTATAAATTGCAAAAGAGTGGCCATGAGTTCGCCCTTTCTTCCCATAAGGCTCAACCCCTTGGAAACGAGCGGTTGTAGATCGGCACAGGCATATCATAGATTTTGTAAAAGTATATTAAATTTATTTTGCTAAATATTTACAAAACAGAGATTGTTGCTATTGTGTGTGTTGATCTATGACTTTTAGAGTCTACATAACAGACGATTTCAAACAATTTTACTTTTTTATGAAATAAAGATAGTTAAGTTGAAATATGTAGTTGGCATGACAATATTATGATCTAATCCTCTTAAAGCTGATGTACTATGTTGAGACAGTGGAACTCTTCAGAGACAACTTTATAGTAGCCCCTGGCATTTGTGCTGATATTTTTGTGTTAAAAGTGAAGGACAACTGTTTGTTGTTTTTTTGACGTGACAACGTCTTATAATTCGATGGAGTCGGCTGCACGCACGAAAAAACATGACTCATGCGGCGTTACCTCGCTCTGAGGCGTTCCATTTAAGGCGTGAAGTGCAAGCGAGAGCGCGGAACGAGTGACAAAGAGGCACAATCGGCCTCCGCGTTCGGCAGCGTTCGACATCTGTCCCTCTCCTACTTGAGTGAGCGATGCGTCCGCGTGGACAGCTGCTACTCGTATACAATAATACATTTTTGAAAAATGCAACCATTCCATCAGTATTTTCTTATGACGTAGTCACGTTCAACTATCGTCAGTAAACCGACTTTACAGACAACCGATTTATTTTTTATTAAAGCAGCCAATAAACCTTTTCTTTACCTTTATTTTAAAGACAACTCCCTTACTAGGAATATATCCTATGTCGAGGGGGGACTTCACAAACATACATGAAACTGACACAAGGAACACCCAGATTCAGAACAACAATTTGTGGGTCACACAAAGTGTCGTCCCATGTGGGGATCGGAGCCACAACACTCAGCGTAGTAGTAAGCGGCGTGGCGACCGCTTAAACCCCTACGCCATCCGTGTAGTTTCACAGTCCCAGTTACAATTACAAACAGTAATTTAAAAAGAATGTACATGACCTCCTTCTTCTTCTGTGAGCAAGTTATGCCTGCGAAGGAGATGGCGGAACGGGACCAGGAGAGGCTTAGAACTCTCCCGGCCCGCCAGGCCCGGGCTCGGGCCAGATACCGCAGGCGGCTCAGGCCCCGGAGGTAGCAGAACGACCTCCGTCCTCCATAAGTGCGGGCCTGGGGGTGACTGGTACCCGAGACGGCGTTCGGTATTTAGTCGGTTCGAGTCCGTCATAGCCACCGGTACATGGTATCCGGAACAAAAAAGGTACATGACCTCCTTCCTAATGAGATGGCAATATCATCAATAGTACACCAACCAATTTTATTACATTCATAGTGTACGAATATAATGTAGATATGTATGTGTGTGAATATGTAAATATATCTAGGTGTATAATATTTATAGTGCATATTTAGATTTATATACAAATATATACACAACAAATAAGAATACGAAGTATCACCACCCCTATTCAGCCCGTGTGGGTGTCGTAAGAGCCGACTAAGGGAGCAAACTACGCAGAACAAGAGAAGGAAAACTTGAATCAAACCCTATACCAACCCGTCTGGCCAGCGTGGTACAGTAGGACAAAACCTCTTTTCTAAGAAGAAGCCTATGTCCAGCAGTGGACTATTACAGGCTGTTAATGTAAAAAAAAGAAAAACAATTGTATATACATCTAAATATGTAGTGTTGTGTAGTGTATATTTTAGTTAAGTAATATTTTTTTTTTTTTTCAAAGACAACGCCCGCATTAGGAATATATATTCCTGTGTCGCGGGGGACTTTACAAACATACATGAAACGGACACAAAGAACACCCAGACTCACAACAACAATTTGTGGATCACACAAAGTGTTGTCCCACGTGGGGTTTGAACCCACAACACTCGGCGTAGTAGAAAGCGGCGTGGCGACCACTTAAACCACTACGCCATCCGTGCAGTCATGCAATAATGCAACCTATGTACACCTACCACTAACGATTTCTACACCACCCAAAGATTGACTGGAGAAAAATGCCCTGGGCATTAAGTCCGCCGTTGTACAAGAGTTCATAAAGTTGTGCTAATAAATAAATAAATATAGTATTACATCTATTACCACAAGGATAAAGCCTTGAAATATAAATACACATTTAAAAGCACGCACATTTATTGTGATCATTAATCTATATCAGTTTGAAGTGTTCTTGGTGCCGTCTAGACTGCTGCTAATATATTCCAATTTATTTCTTTTCTGTTCACAATTTCTTGAAGTGAAAACTTCTGGGCATTTTTAAACAACAAACAAAAGAATGTATTTTTTGAGATGGGAAAAATCCATTGAACTTGCGACACTGTTACCGTTACCGACACCTCAGTATATAAGTATCTACATATATTGGCTCCGTTTACACGAGAGTTGAGTTTGGGTTGAAATACATTGATAATAAAACTATATAGAATATAATAATAATAATAACAACTTCACACATCTCACACACGGCAGTCTGATCCCAAACTAGGCAGAGCCTGTACTATGGTAACCAGACTGCTGATAAACATACTTATATATTTTTAAATACATACATATTATAGATAAATTACACCCAGACACAGAACAAATGACCGTGCTCATCACACAATATTTGCCCTGTGTGGGAATCGAACCCACGACCTCCGGCTTAGCAGTCAGGGTCACTAACCACTAGACCAACAGGCCCGTCTATAAACATATGTTGTATATATACCTACAACATAATAAGATATTAAATGATTATGCAATAATTTCCATGTTTAGTGGAGAACGAGGTTCTATCCTCTCTGTCTAACCTCGGATGGAAGTAAGGCGTGAGTCTAAGCAACTCTCTCGTAGGTTTTCACCGAGTGAATGAGGTTACCGGAACCCAAAACCCTTCCTTACTCTATTTCTAGAAATGTACAAAAGGGCGGAAAAGCAATTATGACTTTTGAGTCGTGTTATTTGATTACACCGTTTACATATATTTTTTTATTTTATTTTTTCAGATCAATCAAATTAACACGAAAACTCTCACAGGCGGCCAAGTCATCGTTAACCAGTGCCAAATACCTACCGACAATTTATCAGAAATCGATATTGCATGCGAAACAATCCAACAAAACTCACAATTCCTTCAAAACGATCCGGAAAAATACTTAGAAGACCTTTTAGAATTCATCCACGAAGATACAAGTAAAAATATACAAAATGACCAAGTCGACATTCAAAAATCGAATCTTGGTATGTCGCAAAACAAAATGGCGGTTTTACTTGACGCGGAACAAAAAGCACAAGAAGATTTTCTATTGGCGGATCTCGAGAAAAAAACTATCGGCCAAGACGAAATTCTTCAATTATTAAAAGAGAATAATTATCAAGTACCACAAACGGATCTAACACAGACAAATCCCATTGAAGATATTGTAAATGACAGTAATTTTGAGAAGGACATGTATAATTATATTCAAACAGAGATTAATAGCATGCCGAAAGATGATTATTACAACGCTGCCTACACATACCCAACGCCACCAAGATCGGAAAACGAACGAAGCTCTATGTCAGCCTCCCCAGCATCATTTTACCCTTCAAATTCTGAATACACTCTATCTCCAGAAAGATCTCCAATATACAACAGTGATTACGAAAAATACCAATACATACCTTCTTTTGAGGACGAAAAAGAGGCCACAGATAAAAAAGCGCGTGAACGCACCGCCTCTATCTCGTCTATGACTATGAAACAATTCAAGGATATGCAAAAGGAGATTGTAAATTGTTTTGGGAAGAAAGAGTGTTGCCAAGTGAATCGTAAAACTTGCCTCGAAATGTTTCAAGAGCATATGCAGAAATTAAAAATGGTTGAAAGAAAGGACCTGTGTATGAAAGTTGCTAAGTTAGATATCAAAGCAGCGTATGGGTGAGTCTATTTTAATTTAACACTTTTTATGAACATCCTAGATACTGCTTTAAAATGGCTTCAATTTATGAAGGAACACACCATTATGTCATTGTATATATTTTCCCAGTTTTTAATGGTCAATGAAATGGATAATATATATAATAACTATGACAAATAAATTAAAAGAAATTAGGGCGTATTCAAAATCGATCTAAGTGGCGTGTAATGGGAGAAGCTATGTCCAGCTGTGGGCTGCGATAGGCTGATGATGATGAAGGCCGAATCTGGTTAAAATATGTATACATACAGTAAATGTACATGTCTATGTGATCGTGACGATCGACTTTGACGTGACACAGCGCTTGGGCTCTCGATTGAGGATCTCTGTTTAGCCAAAACTATTCAGGCGTCCCCGAATTACGTAGTACTGAAGTGTTTATTCATGACTAGCTTTTGAACTCCGCCCGGTTGTCGCGGTAAGAAGTAGCCTATGTCCTTCCTCAAGAATGCTAAAATTTCATTCAAAATCGGTTCAACGGTTGAGCAGTGAAAGCGTAACAGACAGACAGAGTTACTTTCCCATTGATAATATTTTCCCACAACTCAAACCATCTCATTACTAAATTTCATCTAAATCAGGTCAGTGGTTATTGATTCCCCATACAATCTTCCACCCCCCTTTGGACCCCCCTAAAGAATGATTTCCAGGATAAAAACTATCATGTCAAACTCTCAAACTCAAACTGGCTCTATACTAAGTTTTATCTAAATAAATTCAGCGGTTTAAACCTGAACATTTAACAGACAGGCATATCACACATCATCACACATCAACAGCCTTTAATAGTCCACTGCTGGACATAGGCCTCTCCTTAGAAAGGAGGGTTTGGCCTACTATACCACGCTGGCCAGACGGGTTGATATAGGGTTTGTGTCAAGTTTTCCTTCTTCTTTTCAGTGCTTGTGTCCTGCGTAGTTTGGTCCCTTAGTCGGCTCTTACGACACCCACGGGATGAATTGGGGTAGTGACATTCCGTATTCTTAATCCGTCACTACATGGACACACTTTCGCATTTGCAATATAAATACCTATGGATTAATATGGATATAGTGAATAACTCTTAATTGGAACACAGCATTTGAACACTGGAAATTCATAAATCATATATGGAAATATATTATGTCGTAGGTATATTTTTTTTTAAATTATCTAATTCACATTGATTCATCACATTGTTGACGTAATTATATAATAATACATGACTACATATGCGGACAAGGAAAATAATACAAACAACACTATTTATTAAAGAACATAGACTCACTTTAATGAAATTTCAATTACTGTTTTCAATTCGTCGTACATATTTAGATAATCATTACCCCAAAACGGTCTGATTTATACCTTTTGCAAACTACAGTTCTTGCCACACTTATTTAAAATATCCGTGTCGTGACGGATTAAGAATACGGAGTGTCACCACCCCTATTCATCCCGTGGGTTTCGTAATAACCGACTAAGGGAGCCTACGCAAGATAACGGCACTGCAAAGAGAAGGAAAACTTGAAACAAACCTTATACCAACCCGTCTGACCAGAGTGGTATAGTAGGCCAAAACCTCCTTTTTAATAAGAGGCTTATGTCCAGCAATGGACCATTAAAGTCTGTTGATGATGATGATGATTATTTAAAAGGGGTCATTCCTATTACAGTCAAAATGGCGCTTAAGGTGGGATAATAGAATTTTATTCTGAACCCTGCAACCTATTAAAGCAGTTCCACTCTGAGTGTAATATGTAAGTACTGACTGACTACATACGAACTAGAAGAACACGAAATACATAATTATAAAAAGAAGATGTCGGTACTCTACTGATACAAAAGAGAAACTGTTTTTTTTTTAAATAAATTCATCCATCTGTCAGTGACACACACACGGCCGTCTGAATCAGACTGCTGATAAACATACTTTTAAACTAAATCCATACATATTTTAAATAAATTATATCCAGACATTGATCGTGCTATAGGTACTAATATTATAAACGCTAAAGTGTCTGTCTGTCTATCTGTCTGTTACCTCTACACGCTTAAACCGCTGACCTGATTTAGATGAAATTTGGTGTAGAGATAGTTTGAGTCCCGGGAAAGGGCATAGGATAGTTTTTATCCCAGGAATTACCCTTTGGGGGTGGAAGCTTGTATGGGAAATCAATAACCGTGGAACAGATTTTAATGAAATTTGGCATAAAGAGACTTTGATCCTTGAGGAAGGACATAGGCTTTTTACCGCCATAACCGATACACACGCGGGTGGCGAAAACTAGTTATACAATATTTGTCCTGGGTGGGAATCGAACCCACGACCTTTAGCTTAGCAGTCAGGGTCACTAACCACTAGACCCACAAGCCCGTCAGGCTTAGGAACTCACGTGAGTAAAACCGTAGGTATATAAATTATAAATATATATTTCAGAGTTCTCCATCACATATTACTGAGTCTGTCCCGTGGATCGGATCAAGAAGACCTCCAGTACGTACTGTTCAGCCTTATCTGCGAAAGGGTCCTCGCTCAGGATATCTCCATGTTTACGGGAGACGGTGAGTATTTCTCGGTAGTAGCTTGATATTTGATGACCTATATTCTAAAGGAGATTTTTATTCTATAGGATTCTTGTTTTACACTTTACCTTATAAACTTACAAATTAGTTTATATAATATAGATTTTAATTTTGTATCGTCTATACTTGTGGGTATAGTAATGATTATTGGTTATTTGGGTAAAATTACTAATAATGAGTAAGAATTCTTAATTTGTTACAAACACGCTTTTATTTTTTATAAGAAAACAATAGGAAAGGAACGACAATATGACATACATGTACAAAGTTGCCAACACACAAAAATTAATAATAAATAAAACAGTGTGACCATTCACAAAAACAAACTAAAGACTATGATCTAGCTTATAAATTTATATTTATTCAACAATGATATTTTATTTTATAGTAATACTATTTATAGAATTTTTGGGAGTTGCATACTTCTAAAACATCATAACTCAAAAGTAAGTCGAGTGCACTTTGTGGAGTTCTCGTAGTAAACCGTCGAAATTATGTATACAATATATTTAGATTTCAATTTTCTTTGCCATAAAAATAATATAAATAAGCAAAAAGCTTCCAAACCACTAACGCCATCTAAGTGGCGAAGACGTAAACACACATTATGCTTGTAAGAAAATGATATATTTAATTGTTCAGGTATGGCAATATTGTTGATATCACCATTGATGACCTATATTACTATACCGACAGTCTATTGACACTGAGTTTATGTTAGTAGAATACTGATATTTTATAATTAATAGGATAGAATATTTTATTTTGCAAATATGGGTAATAAATGATAGGTGTTACAGTACATTGAAGCTCAACTATATTTTACCAGTGGCGTGCAAACATATTTTGTATTAGGCTAAGAAACATGCTTTTAGACTCAATCCGCAATAATATTAATTTTAAGTCTTAACATTAGGTAATAAAAATCAGTAATAACACAATAGTAAACATACAATACAAACTCCACAATAGACATCAAGATAATATATCCATAATCATAGCACTTAAATATATTTTTTTCCGATAAAAATTCTGTTACACTGTAGTAAGTTTTATCTACTAGAAATTTACGTAGTCTACTCTTAAACACAACTGTTTCCAAATCTTTCTAAGCTTTTTTTTTTTCCGTGCCGTAATCCCCTCGGATACCACCTATCGGTGGCATGTCGGACTCGAACCGACTAAAACCGCACGCCGTCTCGGGTACTAATAGCCGGGGAACCAGGTATACCCTAGAAAGGAAGTCCCTGGTGCCCCGACATACCTCGGGCCATCTAGAACAACACGACCCCCCCCCGTGTGGGAACCCCATGTCACCCTCTGCTCCCTGGAAGCGAGCGTGCTTCGCAACACGCTCGCCGCCACCCCGGCCTGCTTCTGCTAGGGTGACAGATGGCCTCACCTGAAATCTTTCCGCCCGGCGATTTAATATATATTAGTGGTGCCATACAATAGACACTTTTACGCATTAACGTGGTTCGACAACTTTGGTGACGTAACTTGCTGTTGTCGCGCCTGTTTCTTTGAATCACATCAGCCAGACGTTCAAAACGACTCGGGTTCCATTTAACAAATATAGCTACTTCTAAAATGTAAATACAGGGTAATTTCAAAATATTATACTGTTTGAAATATGGTTTGCAACTGTCAGTAGTTTTAAGTTAAAACATTGATCGGAGGCATCTTTTCTGAGCCTTAAATGCTGAATAGCGTGTCAATGGAATGACAGTGGCTTAGCGCTAACATAAAATAGCAGAGTTGAGGCCCAGTTTGCTCGTTTACCGCCTTATTCCATAAAAAATTCAAGCTAACAATTTTTTTATCCTTTACAGCTGGCCTCAGCCTTCTCAAAGCCACGGCCCTCCGCTGCCCTCACAGACCTCTTCTAACTAGATATTTGGTCCAATGCATCCGAACTGCCATTAGCACCAACGCAAGTCTAGCCGCCGGGAAAGACTATGTATTTCATGAGGTAAGTACCCTATAATCTTGAATGTTAAAGAAAGCAAATAAAAAGCAAGTAATTTTTTTAAAGACAACTCCAGCACTAGGAATAAATCCTGTGTCGCAGGGGACTTTACAAACATACGTGAAACGGACACAAAGCACCATATCTCCCGATGCAGAACTAATGCTATTTAGTTCGGCTGTTCAGCTCTAGATGGCGTTGTAGTACTTTATTAATGTTATGTCGTAATATGTTTAAAGGTGGACGCACTTGGCGATACTTTAATTATCGCGTGTGCTCGAGCCGGAGACAGGTGTTCTGATGTTCTGTACGAACTCGTCAGAGCACACGCCGACCAACCACCTCTGTTCAAATTGCACCACAACAATGCTGACGGTGAGTTAATAAATATATTATCATCATCTTCATTATCAGTCTTTTTTAGTCCACTGCTGGACATAGGCCTCTTCTAAGAAAGGAGGTTTAGGTCTACTAAACCACGCTGGCCAGACTAGTTTGTATGGAGTTTGTTTCAAGATTACCTTCTCTTTGCAGTGCTGTTGTACTAGTTTGTTCCCTTAGTCGGCTCTAACGACACCCACGGGATGAATAGGGGTGGTGACACTCTGTATTCTTCTATCTATACATATAAAACCGCTGTGGCTACAAACTAGAAATTTTGGCAGCTGATTTTTTTATATTGTAAGAACATACACACATAAGGGGTAAAAAAAACGAGTGTCCTTTAGACGACACGACCGAAGTAAAACTTCTAGGCTATAAGAGAAAGAGAGAAAGAAAATATGTGCTCGCACCTTCTCTTGCCCCTACAGTAATATATGGAACGTAATATATGTAACGTCTCTCTTTCTATATTCACTAAGTTATATCTCCCTCTCTACTTCCGTTCGCCTCGCCCGATCACACTTTTCGTAACGCTCTCGTCACGCTTTCACCAGCTTACTCCCTAAGTGAAAAGAAGTTTTACTTCAAAAAGGTATGAACGGCTGTATAAAAGATCGTTATTTTCAAAGTTAGAAACACAAAATAATAAATAATCACAGATAAACTTCTTACAGATTTTTATCTGTAAGAAAAAATTGTTAATTTTGTTTTTTATCTGTTTTATGTTTTTTTTTTTACTGTTTTTCTTATCTTATATATAAAAGTCTCGTGTCACGGTGTGCGTGGTTGAACTCCTCCGAAACGACTCGACCGATTTTCGTGAAATTTTGTGTGCATATCGGGTAGGTCTGAGAATCGGCCAACATATATTTTTCATACCCCTAATTATTATTTTTTGACAAAAGAATTTGAAATAATGTACTCGTATATGGCAAAACAAGGTTTGCCGGGTCACTTAGTCCTAATACAAAATTTGACACAATCGTTAGTCGTTTTCGAGATATAAGAGCAATATATATTAATATGTACTAAAGGGCGCGTGGCAGTCGAAATTCGACTGTTTTGAACAATAAATAACCTCACGGCTACACGGCTGTCTGATCTTAAACTAGGCAGACCCTGTCCTATGGTGACCAGACTGCTGATAAACATAGTTATATATTACAAAATACATACATATTGTAGATAAATTACACCCAGACCTGCAACAATGACCAGTATAACTTGACCTGTCGTTATATAGACGTTATACCATGACAGATCAATATATATGCTGGACCACAGCCTACATGCTTTCTAAAGCCATAGCCTACATGTAACTAAATTATTAATATTTAAATATATATTTTCAAGGATACACAGCATTGCATGTGGCCAGCAGTCAACATAGCGCGGCCTCCCCTAAACTACACACTATACACGTACTTCTAGAACATGCTGGCTTCGAACTAACAGAAGGGGTGAGTTTTTTTTTTTTACTAGGACTAACCTGTGTCGCTGGGGACTTTACAAACAGACATGAAACGGACTCAAAACCAACAATTTGTGAGTCACACAAAGTGCATTTTTTGTATACCTCTGACGTTGGATATTAGTGTAATATCCAAAGCCAACTAAATAAAAATTATTTGAGGTTATATCTAATTCTAGCTTATGCGCACGCAAAAACTAGAATAGAAAACAACATTTTCTCGCTTAAAAATATATTTTGGAAATGTTTACAAAATCTCTTGATAGCCGGATTAACGGAATACCTCCGTACGTACTACGTCCGACAACCCATGACCGTAAATTCAAGTGTGCAGAAAAAATATTTAATTCATACTAAAAATAAAAAATTGACAACATTCTCCACCGATAACCTCACACGGTTAAAACCAACTAAAGGATTTTTAACACCTGTTTTCTGTGGTAGTACTTCGGTCGAGCCTGGTCCATTTGTGACGAAGCAAGGTTGCCCCACGGTTACAATGTACAGTAAACAAAATTCTAGTCCATTAATAACGAAAATATCATTTGTACAGGATGTAAAAGGGAAAGACACGGCGCTCCATCTAGCGGTAAATAGCACGAATTGCGACATACAGCTCATTCTTCTGATGTTCAAACATGTTGACAGAAAAGAGTGGAAGAATCTGGCGCACTGTCCTAATTTAAGGTGAGTTTAAACGAATACAGAAACACCCGCCACAATTATCTTAGTAACGCTGTATTATTGATGTAATTTGTCATCGACTTTATTTTCAAATAGCGAATACCTGGCGTGTCCCCGGCGTTTTTAGTTGTAACGGAAATACATTCTTTTTTATTTGTTTAAAAAAAAAGGAAATCCTAATATTTTTTAAATCCGATACCTAACTAACAAGCCCCATGTTGCTTAACTTCGGTGATCGGACGAGAACTGGTGTGTTCAACATGGTATGGGCGTTAGCTACGGTATATCGAGTGTAGAGGCAAGGAGAACCATCTCATATGGGGGGAAAGTTGAAGAAGTGTCCAGCTGTATACTGCAAATAGAGGTCGCTGGCGTACGAAAAACTACGATATGAACATAGCTGTTGTAGAAGGAGTAAAGTGTGCTGAGTTAAAATATTATAAAACTTTTACTGTCTGAAAGTTATTACACGTTTATCTGTTATCTGTAAAACTGATTGACTATTTACGCAGTCTAGCACACACTGTCTAATTATTATTTAAGCCAATATAAATTTATCCTATGCTACCGCAGCGCCACCCTTTTTGGACGCGTTTTTACGGCCACTTTTCGTACCCAGAGATAGTTCTCCTTGCCTCTCCAAACTTCGGTAGAACAAGGACACAGTTGTCAAAAATTGTAAAAATGAGTTAAGTTTGCCAAAATACTTTAAAAGTGTCCTGTCAACTGGAACAATAAAGACAATTATTACGTTCATTCGAAAACCGTCAGGGCCAAATAGTGGCCTTTACTAATTGGCGCCTTTTTTTTACTCTCCTGGCGCGACTAAGTCTCATTACTCAGTTGCGGCGTCTGCGGCCCTTTATGTTTTTGATTCCTGGAACGAGAAGGTCACATCTGCCTCACTTATGCCTACTTTATAATTGCAAATGGTCATAAAAACAAATTAATTTACACGTTGGTGGAACAAGAGCCCAAATGCAAGCCTTACTTAATTTTTTTTATTTAAAAACGAATATTTTGTAATTCTTGATAACTTGCCGAAAAAGAATTTAGCATATAGTTTATGTCATGCAAAGAACTATTTAGTATAAGACTAAGACCATATTGAATGCAAAACATATCTTAAAATGGCTCCTGTAAAATTGCACATACTGCAATTGTGCCCTCGTTCCACCGAAGATGCGTTATGGCTAATGCATTGTTTTAGTGGTCTAAAACCATCTTTGCATTATTGCCTCTCTAATGAAACCGGCTTGTGTAAGTCTATAACGGATATAGGTAGAAACTTATTTTGTGTTTTATATATATAGATAAATAATATAGTGCTATTAAAAACACTAAAACTATCATAATATTTTTTAATTTTCGTATTTTTTTTCATTTACAGTTCGAAAACCCCACTCGACCTAGCACGGCTAGCAACGAAATCGACATCACGACCCAACTACCCAACAGAGGTACTGGACTTCCTGAAGAAATGTCGCTGATTTCATTTATGAATGAAACCATCAAAAAATTAAATCGACTTTAAAAATAGTCGACTAAATACTGAATATTAACTATCCCAACACTATTTTAAGAGATCTTTTTTGAATTTCGAAATGGAATGACTTCGTCAGCAGAAATGAAACAAAATATAAATACAACGTTTTGTTACGTGGTTTTCTCCTGGCGAGTATCATACAGCATTGAAAATTTATAATTGAAACCGAAATGATTAAATATCCATCATAAAAGTCCATCTTTTTCATATATTTTAGGAGATAGTACGGGATATAAAATGGCGTTAGCCACTGAGACGTCTTGTGACAGGGAGATGATAGATTATATATTTTTACATATTATCATTATGAAGAAAAGCAAAAACATAACTTTGGTTGTCGTTACCTATTGGTCATGTCTAGATAGACTGTGAACGCTGTAAAAGTGTTGAAAAAAAATTGTGTCCAACTGTTGGCCACTAAGTGCCTTTCTGCTGTCGGTCGCTGTGTGTGTATTAGCGATTGCAAAACGTAGCTTTCACGCACACCAGCATGTTAAAGTTTGTTTTAGGTGTTTTGTAGTCCGAAACATCATCTAGGCAAATAAGAACAATAATTTACAAAAAATATATGAATTCAAGTTAGTACTTATATCTAGAATTCATAGAACATTTGAGTCTATGTAGTGCTATCTACTGTCTCAATATAAATACTTTAAATCATTATTATTAAAAACTTACGAAATGGTTGTGTTTAGAACACTATATTAATTAAGTATAGATATCATAAAAAAAAACGTTTTAGCCATTGGATGTTTGCTGGATATACTTAAAATATTAAATAAAATGTACATATATATATATATATATTTGTATTGATTTAATAATTTAAATGGTATTCCATGGTCATTTTCAATTGAATTCATCCATGGCGCTTGCACACTTCCTGAAAATAAAAATAGGTAAATAGTCCGTTTATAAAAACTTATCAAATCAATATATCTCTCAAGTAAAAGCTACAGCCACAATATAAATTTCCTCATATTATAAAACTGATATGCTTTCTAACAATTAGTATAAAAAGCATATAAAAATACAATGAAGTATACAGTTAGTTATAATGAAAACAAATATCAGACAGACCTTATCTAACTGTCACAGCATAAACAATGTCATTTTTACCACATTAGAGTTCTACCTTAAACATATAAAGTCTAATTCGACCTAGTTTCGCCACTAATCTCACTTTATTCATTTTATTCTGTCATATTCCTGTGAAAGATATACCGCCATTTTATATTATGTTTTCGCGCCATTTAGTTTTTTTTTTTATTACTTTGTACAAGTAAAAATCTAATCAGACTACTTTTTACGGCGCGTGAATTGTACTCGTATTAAACTATATTTAGTTTTATTTCCATATAAATCTAAGAGCTTTAGTATTTTGTTAGCGTTGTTAGATTTTGCATAATTACGTATATTTTAGGGTACCATGTTATGCTCTCAGTTTTTCTAAAAACACGATATATGTGTTTTAAAAGTATAAAATATATCCCAAAATATTCTAAATGCTTATAATCATTAATGTCTTGGACATCATGAAGTAAACTTGTTGCCGATTTTATAGATTAGTTTTTAGTTTAAGATATGTTATAGATATTGCTGTCTGTTATAGCGTTTACGTGACACAATTCAATAGATTTTCAGTGTTTTGAACTGAAACATAATGATTTACCAGTAGCATAGGTATAATCATATATTTTATTAATAAATCCTTAAGAATAAGTGATTTTTTTTTTTATTTTGGCCTAAATATTGTTGAATTCTAGTGTTGTTTACTGTTTTAAGGTTAGCATTTTGACATTTAATGTGCTGTTTATATATCTAAATTGTGATAAACACGGCTGTATTCTAAATTGTAAAATCTATTGGATGTATTTAATATTATAAACTGTCAATGTTTATCCAACTATTATATTTTACGACATATTTGTCTATAATATACTTCTAATGACCACATATATAAGTAGCGTAAAAAAAAATACATTTTTTACTGATCTCTACTTTCGTCATAATAAAAACTGTAAACTTAAATTTTGTATTTGTTTCGCTTTTAAATGTCCGAACCATGTTCTATTATATGAACTTTCATATTTTTTATTTGGTTAATAAAGTATTCTAATATATTGAACCAAATTAGAATAATAAAATGTGCAAGATTCGTTTTTATAATATTTGCCACCATTTTGTTTTTAACCTACTTCAAAAAGGATCAAAAATATCTAGTTTGCTTACTTCATTTTGTATCGATATTAAGTTGTACCGTAGGGATAGTTTTTATCTATTTTTCTAGAATGTATTGACATTGTAAATAGCATTATAGCATTAACTGACATGAAAGGAAATTGTGATACCTGCAAAGTTTTTTTTTATTGTCTTCAACATTTTGAATGCGAGGAGTTTTAGACATGCTTATCAAATCAAGGCCATTTTAATTCAATTAATTTGCCCAAGTAATATATTTTCTTAAAATTTATAACTTTTAAATGTCACTTTCTTTATTAATTTGCATCAAGAACTTTTTCAAAGAATGATTAAATTTAAGTCAGGTTTAGAATTAATACGTTGTAATAATCTACTGTATTTTTAACACATATGAGGTTTCGAAAGAATATTACCTACAAGAAAAAAGATTGTGAAACCAATTGTTTTCGTCAAGTACTTTTGGAAATAATATCTAAATTTTCAAAAATGTATATTCTGTTTCTGGCAATAAAATTTTGTTAACATACAACGTTGTTTATTAATATTTTTATTCAAATAGACTATGACCACAAATTATAACCTAGATAGAATACGTATATATATACTAGAATCTTGAGGGCTGACCTTCACCTGCGCAGAAGTCAATTTTGGGTCCCTTTGGTAGTATGTAGGAGGGGGGGGGGGGGGGGGGGGCAAAATTAATAGGACTTCTTTTTTTATGATTAGTAATTTAATCATTTATTTTCTACTTCCGCTCTTCATCAATATAATTTAGTGATAGTTAAGAATTTAGAAGAATTTTAATGTGCGTGTATTAGATAGCGTAATGTTTTCTGTAATATGTACGTATAACACGATAAATGGAAGTTTTGATGGAAAGTGTCACCCCTATTTGAACGTAATAATTTTATAGGGAAAAGGTGGAGGTCAAGGTGAGGTGCCGGTACCTATGCCAACTATAATATGTCAAATATAGATATAAGTATCTAACATTATATTTGCCCTTTCTATTATTAGACTTGAGTTTGGGTTGAAATACATTGATAATATAACTATATATATAATATAAACATATATTGTGTATATACGTACAACATAGATATATATTCATGTCGGCATGTCGGATATCATTTTAGTATATGTAACTATAATAACTAACTAATAATAGTAACTAATAGAAGCGATATCCGGCATAAAATATGGCACTTTTAAATTGAAATCCCTAAGTCTATAAAAGCCGATTTTTAACCCACCGTGCGACGCAGCGACTGCCGCTTTGCTCTGCTTTTAAATCTACTAAGATAATCATTTTAATTATATGCCATAAAAAGCAATTTTTTTCTACATTAAATGCACAAAGACTTTTCTATAGATTTTTTTAAGATATACAATTCCATAGTACATTCTTTAGATTTATCTCGTAAGGTTTAGCCAGCGTTTGCAAAATAAGCGCACAAAAAAAAGCGAAAAAGCGCACATGTTTTTTACGGCTTCACATTACAAATCTTTGCAATTCTCCGAATTCCTCTACTACAATCATTATCAACAGCCTCTAATGGTTCACTGTTGGACACAGGCCTCTCTTAGAAAGGAGGTTTTGGCCCAATACTATAATATGCATGTACTCTACATTACGAACCGCCTCTTGAATTACTCTCTCTATTGGTGAAAACTGCAATAACATCCGTTGCATAGCTTGAAAGCAGTTTTCTAATTTCGTGCACGAAGTCGCGGACACTATCCAAATATTATACTAAAAATAATGTGTTATGTAATCAATCTCATTCTCTCGCCGACTTAATCCTTTACATTTATGACTGCACGGATGGCGTAGTGGTTTAAGCGGTCGCCACGCCGCTTCCTACTGCGCCGAGTGTTGTGGGTTCAAACCCCACATGGGACGACACTTTGTGTGATCCACAAATTGTTGTTCTGAGTCTGGGTGTTCTTTGTGTCCGTTTCATGTATGTTTGTAAAGTCCCCCGCGACACAGGATTTATTCCTAATGCGGGCGTTGTCTTTTAAAAAAAAAAAAAAAAAAAAAAAATTATGTGTTTGTTTCTTTTTCGTGACGCATTTTTGTTTCATCGAGTTTTAACTTACAGCGATTTATTTATATTTTTTTTTTTTCAATAATTTTTTATACTTTTATTTTTTTAATAATTTAATTTAATTTATTTATTTCTTTTAATAATTTACTATAATAAAAATAAATAAATAATTTCCTCCAAAAACGTACTATATTTTCAACTACCGTTTTTATACCGACGCCAATGGCCACTCGATGGCATCTCAATAGCGTGTCAATGGTATGACACTGGCTTGGCGTAAATAGCAGAATTGAGGCCCTGACAAAACTTGTTCATTACTCAAAGATAAAAGAACAGAATTGAAAAAGTCTCCTTTTTTTGAGTTGGTTATAATAACTCAAAACACATCCACTCTATATACAGCTTGCAGGGAGACTACAACGAAAAAAAAATTCAACTATAATATATATTATAGTGTTCACACAATCACATTCGGTGTTGATCAAATTGGGTGATCCAGACAACCTTAGGTGCATTAAGCTGTTTCCAATCGAAACGTTTTGATCCAAATTAAAGTGATCGCAAACCGTTGTGTTTTAAGAAGAACAAGCTTACTAAATATCGCAAAGGAACAAAGATTTCATATTTGAAAAATGTTTTCTGCTTTTACTATTATTGTTTTTTCTTTTCAACCATAATTTATTTAATTTTATAAAATGTCCAATAAATTATGTACAAATTGTACTAGAACGTACTATTTCCTTGACATGGCAACATTGACCCCCATTGTTTACGACGCCGAACGAACGAAACAAAAACAAGTTCGAAGCGAGTCAGTTATTTTTGTACCTTGTCTGGATAAGCATCTGTAAATTTCGCCATTTTGTGATCAAATATTCGTTATTGTAACGTCAGAATTCAGTTACTTTAATAAATCTTAGAGTTTTAAGAGTTGTCTTATAAGTAATATTCAAACATTCTTGTTGATTCTGAAGTGTTATTTGCGACGTTGCCGTTCTTCCATTCATATTTTCTAATAAGAGAAATCGATTTCTTAAGATCGTTTATTAGCCGAACATAGTATTTTAAGTTGAATCTGTGATAATTCTTGTGCGTAAATTCACAAAGTAATGTTAAAGTGTTTTGAAATGTGTGAATTTGAACGTTATTCATTTTCTGACGCAATAGCAATCTGGCAACAAGGCGAGGAATCGGACTGAATATTTTCTGATGTATTAACAAAACTCAATCGGATATAATTATATATCACACATTAAACCCTATTTTATGAGGTAAGTGATTTATTTTAATTTTTTAGCCCTAGAAACATAAAAAAAAAGTTAAAAAGGAAATGTAACGGTCGTTTTAATTTTCCCGCGACATGACGTAATTCTCGTTTTTTTTGTCCGCCATCTTTTTACCATCAGTCATCTGTCAAGCCATTCTTGGTTTAGTTTGCGCAGGGTGTGATAGAAAAAAAATCATCTCTTATAGGGTGGTTTTTCTAAAAAAATCCACCACGGAAGCATCCGGGTGAGTTTATTGATATAATTTTATGAAAAAAATGCGACCGTTACATTTTATTACTGTGTGAAATTTTCTTTGTTCCTTTATAACCTCTCTCGATTTTAGGTCAACCAGCGCCTTTTATGTCGAAATTTCTTATTTGAATGAATAATATTTGCATAAACGACGTACTATTCGCAATCCTAAGTGAAATCAACTAACTTTATTTGCTCATACTATCCTAGAAGTAGAAAGTTAAATATTATTCAACAGACTTCGAAGCGAGACTCATTTTGAGTTCGAAAATCTCGAAAGTAATTGTATTTCGTGTCAATATTTTAATTTACAGTTACCCATTTTTGACGTTTGTTTATATAAAAAAAAAAAGTAAGACTACCTACATTTTAAGTCAAAAATACATTTTTAGTAATGACTATTCTAGTATCGCCAATCTAGAGTTTTCTATTTGATAATCTAATAGGAAAACTTTTTTTCAAGAATTAGATTTTAAGTCTCATGTGTAATTTGAGTCATCTGTTGCATAATGTTTTATCATTAATTTGCAATTCCATTGCATTTATAGATATGAATTGACTTCTATCATTCAACTACCATTCAACCACGTTGCAATATAAACCAATGTACAATAAATATGTATTTTCTAGCTACAAAAAAAAAAAAAACATGACGTTAGACAATCCTATTAATTGGTTACTTGGACAGAGATACCTATGCATGCCCCTCCTTCTAAAAGTGATGTTATAGCCAATTAAGCAAGCAAATAATTATTAGGGATTTTATTTCCAGTCCGATTAATTAATGTAAATTGTATGATGAAACCTAAATACACACAAAGTATTTAGTCTCATTACAAACAGTTCTTGTTCAGAACAGACTGGCAAACATTGTTACATTCTTGACGTCATAAAACAGAAATCATAATGAACAAATGTTTTATGAGTGGTGTTTTGTTCAATGCAAAGGTACATAGGATTTAATAGGAAGAAGTATCCCCGTCTCTCTAAACAATATTAATATTTTAACTGATGTATCAGAGAAGTAACATTTTTAAATCTGCGATTGCGAAACAAAAGAATTTGTTTTTGAGTTAAGAAAAAACCATTGAACTCGTGACACTGCCACCGTTACCACTGTATATACGTATCTACAGATATTTGCCCTATTTACAAGAGAGTTGAGTTTGCGTTGAAATACATTGATAATATAACTATATATAATATGAACATAGATTCTGTATATACATACAACATAGAAATATATTCATGTCGGCACTTTTCAAGTTGAAGAAAAAACAAAATAAAAATCCTGTTATAATAAAAAAAAAGTTTTCACTTCTGTTAGCACTCCCACAGTTTTTTTTTCTGTAGTATGACTATATTTAACAAGCAACTTGTTTGAGTTTTGCAGACAGACAATGGGCCTCTTAAAAAAATTACAGCAAATCAACCGCGATGGGTGCTAGGTTTTTAGTGCTCTTTTGTTTGAAGTGGGTTCAACTTTTTAAAAAAAGATTTACTATTAGCAAGTAAGCTATAATATGACGCAATATCCGTCTAGAAGTTGGATGTACAGATTTAACCATATTATCTACTTAAAATAAGGCTTGTTTCTTCTTTAATGGTTTGATAGTACCTATCTGAGCAACGTCTCACTATGCGTTTTCAATACTTAGGAGCTTGTCTTTTGTTGCTCTATAGATTTTTACTAGAAAACTTCTTTTTAATTAAAATTCTTATACCTACCTATATCCATCATGCAGCAACGTTCATGACTAATTCAGATTCTGTTGTGTTAATTCCACAACCGAACACTGTTAGCCAAAATACAGGCGTTTGCCTAGTTTGGTTAAGAGTGTAAGTACCTATTTTGAAATACATAAATACTTAGTGTTCTTTTGTGTCTAATAAACATTATATTTTCTTATTATTATACACAGAGCTCCTACAGATCTTCAGTTAATACTGTAGCTTATAATTTTCAAGGACAATGTAGGTTACTCAGATTATACCATAGAGCTCTTAATTCCAAGTCATATCCAGAATATTAATAAAAACTTTAATGAGTCTTATACATATTAAAAAAGGATAAACGGTCGGTATTAGGCACTGCGCTGCTCGTAACCAATGAGTAAAGCCTCTTAACCTCCTTAAAATGTACCTCTTATCGGGTCATAAATTAGTCAAGCATGCATAAATGCAAGCATAAATACCTAAAAGAATTCTAAGTATAGCCTTTTCATCTAATCACGTCACATATTTTTTTTTTAAATAAAACTAGGTCTATTTCATATAAGGCTTAGATAACCTCATTCGAAGCCAGATAACAATGTTGCAATTGTACTGCGCATTACCCCCATAAATTCGACATAAAAAAAAAACAGCAACTTCGTTTTAATCGCCAGCTGTTCAAACATCTGGCCGTAACATCGACGTTATCAAGCCACTAAAATGAAGAACAATCAACTGTTTATACTGACTTTCAATACTTTTAGTAAATGTTACCAGTAATAATAGTTAGGTCTTCCTTGTAACTGAGAAGTTTTGCTTAGAAATAAAACACTTTCTAAGGAGAGGCCTATGTCCAGCAGTGGACTAGTATAGGCTGTTGATGATTGATGATGATGAAAACACTTTTCTTATAAAATTATTTTTATGCCACAAAGGACAATAACAACCCCCGCATTAGGAATATATTACTGTGTCGCGGGTGACTTACAAGCATACATGAAACGGACACAAATAACACCCAGAATAAGAACAACAATTTGTGGATCACACAAAGTGTAGTCCCATGTGGGGATGGGAACCACAACACAGCGTAGCGAAGCGGCTTGGCGACCACGTAAACCACTACGCCATCCGTGCAGTCAGTTAAACATGGGTGGTCTGCCAACCCCGTAACAGTATGCTATTTTGCTCTGATCTCCTTTAGTTGCAAGCTGATTTCGTAAATGAACTTCAATTTTTTCGCATTAAAACACTGCATCTGCCTCTAAACGCTTCCAGCACTATTAGCATTGACAACCTATAGCTAAAACAGCGGTGTCTCTAATTATAAGATGGTTATGTAATAATTTATTTCAATATCATCATCATCAACAGCCTTTAACAGTCCACTGCACATAAGCCTCTCCTTAGAAAGGAGGTTTTGGCCTACTATACCACGCTGGCCAGACGGGTTGGTATAGGGTTTGTGTCAAGTTTTCCTTCTCTCTGCATGCTGTTCTGCGCAGGTACCTCCCTTAATCGGCTCTTACGACACCCACGAGATGAATAGGGGTGGGTGGTGACACTCTGTGTGAAGAAAAAAAAGGAAGAAGGATTAAGACAGTCTTAATCCGTCTTACTTTTGTTTTTCACACGGCATTTCAGTTGGCTATTAAAGCTTCTTTTATACAATATTTTTTTTATAAGTTAAACCTGAAATTATTGTGTTTGCTCATTCTGTGTCAATTGTAAGTTTCTGTGTCAATTGTCTAGCTCTTTAGTGTTATTTAATTTATTTTCACTTTCACACAAAACTACTTTGACTGGTGGCGTAGTGGTTTAAGCGGTCGCCACGCCGCTTACTACTGCTACGACACTTTGTGTGATCCACAAATTGTTGTTCTGAGTCTGTGTGTCCGTTTCATGTATGTTTGTAAAGTCCCCCGCGACACAAGATTTATCCCTAGTGCGGGAGTTGTATTTTTTTTAAGAAAAAAAAAATTAAAACTTGCGCGGGTCAGGTTGTCTTATATATAAATACAAGGTATTAGACCCTCCGTACTGCCTTCGCGATCAGCCCCCTACCCCGCTCCCGCTTTATATGTGTGTTGTAGACATGGGACAAAATCACAGTGAACTGTGATTTATCATTCGATTTTTGCGTACGTAGGTTAGAATTGCTAGGTAGAGATAGGTTAGACGCTATTTAACATTATATGTATATAGAAGACTAGCTGACCCGCGCAACTTCGTCTGCGTCTCTCAATAGTAATTTTCCGTTTTTAAAACATTCTTCATTGGTGCTCCGCTCCTATTGGTCTTAGCGTGATGATATATAGCCTATAGCCTTCCTCGATAAATGGGCTATCTAACACTGAAATATTTTTTCAAATCGGACCAGTAGTTCCTGAGATTAGCGCGTTCAAACAAACAAACAAACTCTTCAGCTTTATAATATTAGTATAGATAAAGAAGAAAAATATTAAGTGTCAGCTTATATCGTCTATTTACGTATGTTATCGTGAATTGTTACGTCATTTGGTTCTCGATTGTCTTGCGGTAAGAATCGTAAACACGTGTGATACCACATGAGGTATAAATTAAATAGTAGTGCACGGGAATCAGGTTATCGATTTCTTTTTAGTTTTTACGCTAGAGGGACGGTTTCTTTGAAAAATTTTATTGTCAATTTTGGCAATAAATTTGACCGGGATGAATAATAGCAGCCTTTGTGCTATTCTAGACTATAATCTAACTAGGTATGTGTCAAATCTCGTCTAGGTTTAGAAAGCCTTTTTGGCGTGATTGAGTAACAAACATACTTACGTTTTGAAAAGTAAAAAAAACTGGTGTCTAAATATTATTATGTTTGATACAGCATATAATTATACTGAGTTTGGAATCGATAAATTTAAAAACCCATTTTAAGGGTAGTTTGGAAAATTAGTAACAACGTTTTTTATTAATTTGAATAAAAAGTATTTACTGTGAGTTTGTTAATGATACTACCAAAAATAACGAAGTTTCATATAAATTTCCAACACCCATTTTGCGCCCTTACTTACCTCACCTAAGGAACATTGTGCAAAACATAATGCGTCTATAGCGGTTTCAGCTGTGCATTGATCGATCAGTCAGTGAATCAGTATTATCAAAATCGGTCCAGCCGTTTAGAAGATTACCCGGAACAAACAGACAGACAAAAAATATTTAAACTGGTTTTTAGGCATAGGTATAATGCAAATAACCGTGTGGGCATGAAAAAAACCTATTATTTTACATTGGCAAACAGACACTTCA